CACTCATTCATTACCAGCAATTTGTTAAGAACTCTTTTCTCCTGAGCAGCAGGAAAAATAACATAATAGTTTTGAGATCACTGCAGGAGGATAGGTAAGGATGAAGAGAAAGGTATAGAATTGTAAAATACAGGCTGTGATCTCAAAAAGCCTATTTTAAAAAGTATAATGTACAAGCAGGGGGACTGTGGGGGTAAGGTATCTGTGAGACTGGAACAATTTATATATTTATATTCTACCCTTTCTTGTATCATGGAATGTAAAGAAGTGTACATAGGGCCCCCAGGAGTGCTCCCAGCCAGGAACTGCCTAGATTTAAACCAACTTAATTTCAGTGGGGTAGCTGCACTATGGCTGCGGTCACACACACTAATTAATCCACTTTCCAACTGGATTGAAAGTGGACTATTCAGTGTGCGTGACCAGAGTTTATGTGTCTTCACTATGTGCTATATGTTTTAAAATAAGAGATTCAGATTCCTATGATGTTCACCTGATGCCATTTGAGAAGCAGCAGTTCAGGTAATTTCTGCAGTCTCCTGTTGGCTATAACCTGCTATCTTCAGTTCGGTATCAGCAGTGCAAGTAGTTCTACCACTTCTTTAAGGGTAGCTCTGGTGGCCTCAAGAGCTGAACAGCAGAAAGGAATCAACCAGGTGAGATGCAATATTAGAAAAAGCTTTACCTGTTGATTTTTGTCTGTTCAGGGATGGCAAAATGACAGTAAGCAATGGTACCAGTGAGCGTTTTGCTGTCTTGGCCAGAAAAGGGGGAAAAAACCCTTATAGAATGGTTATTTCCTGTGTTTAGAGTGCTGTGGGGATTATTTGACTCTGTGCTAATAATGTTCCTTTGTTCAATTAATGCCAGTGGTTTTTTTTCATGGCATACTCAAAATGGCAGCCCTTAATTTTAAGCTGAGAAATAACCTTCCCATGCTCATACATAAATATAAAGAAGTGTAATAATAATGTGTGGGAAAACTAACAATTGTAAGTATTTAGGGCAGAACATAGCAAATATGTGGCACAGAAATACATACAAATATATGCATCTGTTGTTGCTGATTCGCTAGAAAACCTGCTCTGGTGTGCTCTCAGTCCTTTAAGGGCAGCAGGTTAAGTGTTGGTGAAAGGCACAGATACTATGGCTGGTTGGCAACCCTAGAATTGCCCTATTTGAAATGTGTTTCCTTCCTCCAGTCTGACATGCATGATTCTGAGAATTGCATCTACAGAAAGAAATAACCCACCTGTTTTTCACATACTGCTATGTGGAATCAGTGTGCTTGTATACTGAAAGCTCCAGGGTGATGAGGGGCAGGTGCTGCTTTCTTGGCCTCTGTCTGACAAGCGGCACCTGCTGAAATCTCCCTCTTCTCCATAGCGATTAAAAAGGTACAGGAGCCCCAACCTCCTTTGCATTTGGTCACACTAATTGCTGCTGCCCTGAGGCCTATTCTAGGGAAAGAATATGAATGCTGGGGTTGCTAGGTAACCACTGGATTTCCCTTGCAGGTGTTCCAGGTCTAGGAACTGCTGTGGTAATGAAAAGCAGGAAACTTGTTAATATATTCCAAGAGATTGCTTTTCTTTTCATGACAGAAAACTGTATAGTACCCATTACTGTGACTGGATTTGCCCACTACTCTCCCACCAGCTAAGGGATAGCGATTTTCTTTTAGTGGGTTCATGGAGATGAAAAAAGAACATATGGGGCTTTTTCAGTGCTGCTGCAAAACTGAATGATTTAAAAAGCCCTTTTGTCTCAAGATCATTATTTGCATCTTGAGTGTGTTTTAAATTCGGGCTCTCATACATTTTCAGGTTTTTTTGTGACCCACCTTAGGTCTTTTGGGAGAGAGGTAGGCTAGAAAAGGTGAACATATTTACAAGAACGTGGTTCTATTCAGATCTCCACTAAGGATGAGCAAAGCTTCTTGTATTCATTTATATTTCTTTACTTTTTTTCTTCTTCTCCGCTTCTTGCTAATGATTTTGTAGATTCGTCAGTGTTGTCTACACACACTGTACAGTTTTTAAGTGTAATTTAGGCGTACAATGTGTAACATTTATACACAGTATGCTGCTTTACTGACTCACAAATAATAATTCAAAATACGTACCTTTTACTGGAAAAAAGTCAGTGTAAGGAACTGATTTTTTTTCCCAGGTGGAAACAGCCATTTCCCTTCTCTTAAGCAAACGAAATTATTCTGATCTGAAAGTGGCTTCAAATCACCTAGTTGGCTTGATATAAAAATGCAAGGCAAACCTATTATTTTTAGTAACAGATCAGCTAATACTTTTCAAAGACTACTGATCTGAAGAGAGAGTTTGTCACTGGTCAAATGAAAGGATGGCTTTCTTTAAGTGACTAAATATTTTGGAAATTCATTCCTCTCCCTTGAAGGTACTGTGTAGCTTTCTAGAGAAGGCTTCAACCGTGGTTTGAAAAACTGTGCTGTTATGCTGAAATTAGTAATTCTTCAGAACAGTGGGGCAGTGCAAAGTTTTCCTGCACAAGTCTCACTGCAGTAAATGGTAGTTGCTCACTGCCATTCTTTTCAGCGAGTCTTGGACAGGAGAAATTCCTACTGGATGGTACCTTTCATCTGAGAATACCACAAGAATAAGATGCACACTCTATTACATCCCTCTCCCCCTTGGTCTAATACTTGGTAAAAGTAGCACTATTTTTGCACTTTTGAGGGAGATGCTTGGAATGCCTTCTATATACTGTTTTAGCTTTGCCCCCATATGTGCTATCATTCCTAGGAAGTTAAAAAGGAGTTGGGAAGGGGATGCATCTTCACGGTTTGGCTCCACAGTACCTAAAGGGCCACCTCCTCCCGTATCAATCTGAATAAACCCTCAGATCAGAATAAATCCTCAGCATTAAGATTTGCAGGGTTTCACAAGAGGAGGGCCTTTTCAGAATGGTTTCATGGTTATGTAACTCCCAAAGGACATGAGCTGGCACCATATCTTCAGACTGCCTGGAGACATTTCTGTTTGGGGTGGCCTTTGGGCTGACTGATTGACTACTGATGTTGCTATATTGCTTTTTTATTGTGTTTTACTGTAACATTTTTTAAAAAATATTTTAGATGGTTTCTGTAATGATTGTGAACTATCTTGCAGTTCCTAAATAAGGCTGAAAGACAGCATACAAATTAATTAAATACATATAAATATGTAATAGAATAACCAGAACTCTTACAAAGCAATTGCAGTATACCTCTTGAAGTGATAGCCACAAATAGCAGCATTAGCTCTTAGTTTTAAAATGTAGTTGCATTTTAAGTACGTATCATATCGAGCAAAAGTCCAATTACACGGGATATATTGTATCACCCATATAATTGGAGGAAGACACACAGTTTTTAACAAACAACAGATACCTTCAAGCAGACTCTATCAGTTATTCTAAAGTTGCAGTGTTATGCATGCATATGTAGGAATTAAGACTTCCTTTACATGAAACTTTAGTAATGCAACTGTCACTGCTTCTATGACTTCTTCCATGCTACTAAAGACATGTGTAAATGTGAAGTTTCTTCTGCAGGTATCATAACCATGCCAGGGAAGCAATGGCTGGCACCTAGAATGTTCTGTTATGTTCGTTCTCTCTCTTTCTCTCTCACACACACACTTACTCACTCATCTTAATACATACATGGAAGGCTTTACATATAAACAGGATTAGCCAAAGCAGTAGCAACCACCACTCTGCTAAAGTTACATGTAAAGGGGTTTAAACCCCATTGAGTTTAGTGGATCTTAATGAGTATGACTGGGTTGTTGTTTTTAAAGCTATAACCTTCCCAACTTCCCCAAGAACAAGTGGTCCAAACCTCTTATCACAGTATGAGACACTGACCACAGTTCAGGCACAAAGCCATAACCAGTGCAATTGCACTTGGTCTAGAACCCAGTCCTAGTCCTGCCATATTATATTCTGAAAAACGTCTGAACTCTTGATAGTTTTTCATGTAGAAAACTTATGCACTGTGTGCATGCATGATCAGTGAACATAGAATAGGAAGGAACTGTGAATAATGACATTCAAAATGACATTTCCTTTGAAAACCATGGGATAAATATTTTGTTCACATGCATTTGTATTGTCAAAATGACATTTCCTTTGAAAACCATGTTACTGAACAGGGTTTCACCACAAACAGGAACAAATACATAAAAATGGGCATAAACAATTATCTAGAGGGGGAAAAACCCTGACAAAAATCTCAACTGCTTTGAAAATATAAGTTAGTTTTGTCAAATCTTCAGCTGCACCTTTAATAATGGCCAAATGTGCAGATATTAGCAGCTGATGAGGCTTGTCTCACCTTGGCACATCGGTTGCTGTTAGACCCATAAGCAAGTCAGGCTTTTTATGGTTAGTTGGCAGGATTAACACCTAAATACATCCTATTTTGGTGGCCCTTATGAGGGCAGAAAGGTGGGGTAAATATATTTTGTTAAATAAATAATTTGCTACCATCTGTATTACTAACCTATTTTGGATAATGAAATGGAAATATTACTTGGAAGTACTTTTCTGCCAGCTACATGATCCTTAAACCTACTTGTCAGTCATTCTATTTTTAATAAGACATCAGTTTAGTTTGATCTGACAATACAACCATAACCTTGATATAATATAGTACTATCCTATATAAGAAAAATATTATTCTGTTGGGCCTTAAAGAGAATACTGATGTGACCTTTGATTAATGATATCAGGTTTCCCTGATAGTTTGATTGTGGATTCAGACTACTACTGTCATGTAAAAAACCCAGACATGTTACATTTCTGTTTGGAGAGTAAGTCCACTACAGTGCTCTGGATAGACATTGACATCCTCCTTCTTTCCCACATTTCCACAGTTGTGGGCATTTTTTAATGCTTGGTTTACTAAACAGCCAAATTCATGAGAGAAAACCAGCTTTGCACACAGTCATAGTATCCACATGGGACATTTTAAAAAGGTTTACCTGACCCCTCAACAATTTAACAGATACTTGGTTTCCTAGCCTGCATCCCTATGTCCATGATTACATCAGGGGTCTTTTGGGGCCGGAGTGTGCCAGAGCGCTGCTCTGGGAGCCCAGAAGCTGGCAAAATGGCAGTGGCACCAAGCCCCGCCCCAGCTGCCCGTCGCTGCCTTCTCGGGGCCCGCACTGGAGCGCTGCAGCCCCAGGGAGGCCCATTGCTTCCTCCCTGGGCCAGCGCTGGAGTGCTGCGGCCCGGGGGAGACCAGAAGATGCTCCCCG